CTCAGCACAGCACATGCCCGTGCTATTTTGGAGCCTGTGCTGTGGTGTAGGAGATGCGAGGCGGGGAGGAAAGACAACCCCTGCTCATGTTCACATGCTGCGAAAAAACATTCTAGCATGAAACACTCTGATATTTTTGCAAACAAGTCACAAACACAAGTATTCTGAAACAGGCAAATGGATTTGTAAGATTCACTGCAGGTCAAGGGGCTGCAAAAAGCTTAATAAAGGTCTTCAAACCCTTTACAAGTGAAAGGCCTGGCTAAGAGAGAGATGGCCACAACCCCCCAGTGCCTAGGACACATTCTAGAAGAAATCCTCACTGTGGTACCTTACTCCACACATCTTTCTGCAAACATCCTACCTCCCTCTAGATTTTATATTCAAGAGCTACACAGAGCACCTTAACAGCATCAGCACTGTTTTTCTCTATTTGCCTTTTCTACCTGTCTGCATTCTGACCAAGACCTTTAGCCATTTCCAGTGTTTGTGAAACTGGGTTTACAGCCCTGCCCGCTGACACTGCTGCCCCACATCCAGCTCCAGCTCCCTCAGCGCAGCCCGCAGCTCGGCTGACCTCTGCCAGCTCCCATCTGCTCCCACCCTGCAAAGACACGCTCTGGAAACACACACAACCACTCACAAAGGTGAGAAAACCATTAACCGTTACTGCCGTACTGCCAGGCAATATGCCACCACAAAACCAGTAGGACAGAAGCGCTTAGAGCAGAATTTACTTCATGAATGCTTCAAATTGGCCTTTCCTGAAGGAAGGACGGCAGTCAGCACTGCTCCTCAGAAAGGGCTGTCAGACAGAATTTATTGCCAAGGCACACGAATGCTATCCCTAGCATTAAGTCTGTTTGAACATTAATATTTAAGCATACTTTTGAACTAAGCCATTTATTAGGGGCAGTTAGTCAAGTAGCATGTTACATTATAAGGAGTGCACATTGCTGGCTAAAGATTTGGCAACCAAAATCTATATGGCTAGCTGATTTACCTTCCAATGGTTGCTGACTATTTAGCCCAGAACCTCAACTGAAGGGCAAGCAGCCTGACCCTGACAAGCTACCTTTATTTCAACAAAAAGCTGGGTTTATACCTACCTGTGATGAAGTGGAAAAAAAAACCCAAACACCAATTAAGTCTCATGGGCAAGTCAGTGCCAATTAAGGCTCGGCTTTTTGCCCACCTGAGTTTGCTTGTTGAAAGCAGCATCATTCAGAACAAGAGCTGATTTTCATCTAATCATACTTAACATTAAGAACTTTAAAACAATAGTTTCCTTCTTAAGCATGTTTGATACTGCTGCCATAACAACATGCAAATACTTCAGTTGCAACAACGATATATTCGTTCCATCCCATGTTTATTATCATGCTTTTTGATAAGCCCGCTTTATATTATTGCTTTTAACATATTTACTAATAAATACAAGTAAAGACTCCCTCTACATTCGAATAGGTACACAAAAGCTTTTTAAAGGAGTATTATTTTTACCAGAAGCCAGTAAGTAAATCGTTATTTTAAAAAAAGCTCATTTGCCAGATATTCAAATAAAGCTGTAAAGCACCTCTGACTCTGGTAGCATAAATAAACTTGCTGAATGCTTATTTGTAATCCCAGCATATTGTATTACAGCGGTGCTATCTGTCAGGCTCCAAGACAGACATTTCAACGCCAGCGAAAAGGCAAACCCATTCAAGATTTTTATTCCAAGAAAGGCCGGGTTTTCGCGCAGGCAGAGCGGTCACGATCAACCGCTCCCAACGGCCCGTCCTTACCCTCCAGCGACAATAACGGCGCGGGGGACCCGCCGGGCGCCGCGGCCAGGCCCAGGGCCCGCAGGCACCAACCGCCCGGGGAGGGCTCGACCCCACCACGGCTCTCGGGGCCGCCCGGCGCACCCCCCACC